TATCATGTTTTTATTACATTGCAAATGTTAGTAATGAAAATGTCATTATGAAGTGTTCCATTTATTTTTATAATTGACCATTCAGTGTAGTTTCTGCAGGTAATTCCAGGTTAAATTAAGGGTCATTAATATCAGCGAAATGATTCCGGTCAAGGTCTTCCTAAAATGTACATATTGTGTATTTATTGCTGTTTCTTAAATTATTTTATAAATGAACAAGAAAGAAAGAGCACTTGATGACTACTGGATATGATTCCAACATTAAACGTATAAAAAAAAAATCCATGTTGTTATTTTTATTTATTTATATATATAAAAAAAATACATTTATTTGATTTACAATTATCTATCTATTATCTAAACATACTTATTTGATTACAGTTTTTAATCATTTTTTCCAGAGATTTTGTGTTTTTGAGAAACATTCCCTTGTGATTTTACCATAAGCTTTAAATGAATTTACCACCGATGTAAAATCTTCATACTTGTTCAGTTGAATCTATTTCGAGTCGTAACATTTACTTAAAGGTCCCAAGCTGAAGGTAACAGGCATGTATGGCTCGCAATGATGGCTGGTCACCAAATGTCCTCATTACAGCCATTGAATTAAAACTCCTCCGTATTCCAGCAGAAGCCTTGACCAGACAAGCCAGCAGCTCTCCCAGATTTACGAGCATTAACGGAGTGTTAAAGTATGACTGGCCCTGAAATAGCCCTGGCCTTGCCTGTTAGTTCCAGCTGGCAGGGCCGGACTCAGGATTGGCTGCAATGAAACCCACCGTCTATACTCATGATCAGAAGTAGAAGGTTGGTCAGGGGAAAATATTTCAAAGCTGTAAGCAACATGACAGCTATCATAATGTTACAGTCTGTGAGGGTTTTCCCCTTGGGTGAAGCATTGGGTTGCATTGCATTCATTGGTCAGGTTTAATTTGTAAGTGTGAATGTGTGTGTGTTTGGCAATTATCCATCGGTAGAGTTGATTTGCTGGTGTTCCCATGATCCACTGCGGCATTTCCATCTTGCACAGCGTGCTGTGTGTCAGGACCGGCTCTCTGATCTTTCCATTTAACACACTACCACCTTTGACCTCATCACAGACACGAGTTAACTTATGTACTCAAACTCTCAAATGACTCGGAATGACCAGTGACCTGCACATCTGGGAAACAAGACCGTAAAGAGTCAATTCAGTATGCGATCCTCCAGAAAAATGGAAAATACGATGCACACTTATTACGTCTGGATTTTTAATATCACTTCAAAAATCTGATTAAAATTATTTGCATGTGCATTACCATTTTGAAAGAAGTCTCGATATGCTCCCTCATGTATTTATTTGATCAAAAATACAGTGAAATATTATTACAATTTAAAATAAATGATTTGTATTGGCATTTATTGAAAAATGACATTTATTTCTGTGATTCAAAGCTGAATTTTCAGCAACATTACTCCAGTCTCCAGAGTCACATGATTCTTCAGAAATCATTCTAATATAGTGATATCAATGTTATCCATGTTGTGCTACTTCATATTTTTGTGGAAACCATGATGCACTTTTTTAAGATAATTTGATGAAAAGTTATAACACAATGTTTTTTTTATTGAATATTAAGCAAAATATGTTTAAATATAAATATCAGCATGTTATTTGACATTAACGGTATAACATTAATAATACTTCAGTATAAACAATGCTTTGGCAACTGCACACTTCGGGTGATTGTCTGATAAGTTATATGGCATTAAGATTGGGACACTTCAAAGAGATTTATTGCTCTCCGCTTAGTAAGCCAGACTGTAACCAGATAGCTCTGTCTACAGTGTTGTTTTAATAGGATCTCAGAGATGGTGCGATTTTATTTGGGTTCTTTCTTTATCATGATGCCCGACTCCTTCAGGAGAGAGAACAATCAAATTTGAAAGATCTTGACAGATTTATGACTTGATTTGCATATGAACATACTCTGAAATACATAACAACTATAATTGTGTCATAAGTTACCATCAAAGGGAGGAACAATGAATGTGATTCTAACATCATGCCATCTGGGAATTATCCCAGAGGAACATTTTATCCCACAGAGGGCTCGAGAGACTGTTTAAGCATCAGCTTTCTGTGGATGCTTCAAATAAAATTCCGAATCAGAAATAGAAATGGACACAAACTATAATATAACTTATTTGAACATTTGATTCATTTATATCTATCTATCTATCTATCTATCTATCTATCTATCTATCTATCTATCTATCTATCTATCTATCTATCTATCTATCTATCTATCTATCTATCTATCTATCTATCTATCTATCTATCTATCTATCTATCTATCATGATTAAAGCAAAGTCCTCATGATTTTGTTGAGGTAGTAATGAGGTCTGGAACTACTATAGGGCTAAAGGACTGAAGACATGTTTTGGAAAAGATTTACTGACATTCCTTTGAATGCCCAGTTATGGAGCCATTTTGATATCCCACATCACTGGAGCTTATACAGAACACTTCCTCTAGCTGCCAGACAAATGCTGTTGCCAATCACACCAACTGATCATGTGATCAAATATGATACTGTTATTGCTTACGGAAAAAGTGCAGCCAATGGCCGGTCTTGGCAGGCAACAGGAGGCTGGAGAAAAATAACAAGAGGCTGGAGGAATCGGAATTTTCCTTCAGTGTATGCAACTATAAAATCATAACATCATTGTCATGGTGGCTATAGTCAGTAGATGTGAGGGAAAAAAAAGCGAAATGAAGTTCGAAATGAAGTGGGCAGTAAATACTGTAAATCAAATAACATATAATTTGAATTGCACGATTATTCTTAACAAACACTTGTATGAGAGAGCCCGAACAGGAAAGAAACATTAACGCTCACCCTCTGCCCTACACTTAACACAGTTCCTGACCCTTGACAACAACCCTGAGAAAAGCCCTGAAGTTCCCCAGAGACATCACATCGCAACGTTCCCAAATCTGAGAGCAGGTTTGTGCGCTCACTCATCACAGCCGTCTCAGGGACCTTTGCGCGCTCGCCATATGCTTACGCAATCTAAGTTGGACTCAGTTATCGACTGCTGTCAGGTTTTCTCGTTGTCCATGTTGTTAACAGTCAATTGTCTTTGATCTGAACGACAGCTAAACAGGATTATCCCTTGCCAATGTCTTCAATGTCTTCTTCAGCTGTGCGCAATACAATCTACACCGGCTCTCCGTGTTTTCTTAGGTGCGCAGGGTTCCCAGACACTAGAGAGGCCAAACGTTTTAGCACGTTGTGAGAAATATCCGCATTGTATCTTTATTAGCTGTCAACACTGATGGCTCGAGTAATGACCTCTATACAGCAATAGACGGGGATTTTAAGACACTTGATCTGTGTTGCGGTTATAAACTGTGTTTTTATTGCGCAACTGCCTTTATGTACCATTTGTAAGCGTTATTATTGACGTCATTTGAAGTGGATTAAATAAAAAATATATAATCCAAAAAGCTGTTTTGCAAATAAATTTACCCAAATTGATTTTTTTTTCTCAAACATTGCCTACAGTACACACTCAGATGATAAATACAGTCTGTATAGGCATGGTCATGGCCTTGTTCAGCAATAAGGGATTCTGGTATACATTTTAATGATGGATTTCTAATTGTGTGTGATGGTAGTGACATTTTTCAGTTTTTGGATAGCTGGATAGTCAGCAGTCAATTATTTCAGGTCTTTGAGAAAAGCAAAAAAAAAAAGTTTGTAATCAATTTTAAAACTGAATCCTTGTTTTTAAGGCTTTATAAAAATCCTTAATTTGCAAAGTATTTTTTTTTTAGTAATGATTTATTGTGGAGGTTAACAAAAGTTTGGGCAGGGGAAAGGGTATAGTTAAGAAACAAATTTTTGATTTAATTTACAAATTAAAAATAGAATAATAGTTTCTTTAAAAAAATATCATCTGGGATTGAAAACTTGCCTGAATTCACGAATAACCTATATACATATATTAAAATATACATATAAATGTCACAAAATCATTATTTTTACAGATGCAGAATAGACAATTCAGTCACTACTTTCTTCAAAATTCTGATTTTAGGTCAGAAAGTTTTTTTGTTTTTTTTATGTAGAGTCTTCATTTATAGTCATGTCATGTGACAAATTTATTTTAGTATGTTTATGTAAAATGTAGTTTAAAATACTTTTAGTACAACGTTCTGAATAGCAAAAAGAAGCAGAAATCTTGCCACACAGTCGCTAATGAGCTACTTAGAAATTTAATGAGCGTTAACTAACATGGACACGCTGGCTCTGACACCTTCATCCACTGTCCGGATCTTGAGTTGTTTATCTGTGTGAGTGTGTGCCTCTGAAACGCTACACCAGCCCTTACAGCTGGGCCGCATCTGCAACGCTGCTCATTCTCAAGCGTAACACTAGCTAGCAAAACACTGGATCCATTCTTGACTATTTCGTTTTGAGGTGGTCAAAAAGTAATAAAATGACATATATTTTTTTGGGTTTAATTTTTAATGCATCATTTCTTCAGGGGCCCCATGCAGCATATATTAAAAGTCTATAAGAGTATTGACAAATATGTGCATATAAATGCACTCAATTGTCAATAATCTTACAAGTCTTGGACACAATGCAGGACAAAATGTGAGTAAGTTCAAATCTGCATGTTCCACAGCTAAAGTGCAAAAAAATCTTTCAAAGTAAAGTAAGATCTAATGTGGACTTCTAAAGCAAGAGTTTCTGCACTTGAATGTTTATTGATGATAATTCCCTCTTGTAATGACCGTCACGCTGTTGAACTGAGTGAGAAACCACCCCTACAGATGTGGGAAACTCAGTAGGGGTGTTGGGTCTGGGTGGGGATCTGGGTGGTGAGGGAAGGGGGGTCGCTGAGCCCTGCCTTGGCCAATGGGGCACGGTCATTAGGGCTGACCAGTGTGGGCCCCGGTATATAAGAAGGGCCGTATGGCACCAGAGAAACCACATCCCTCAGAGGTCAGATCTCCTACACCACACCAATCATGGACGTATTCTCCACATCCCAGATCTTCTACGACAGCACCTGTGCCTCGTCCCCTGAAGATTTGGACTTCGGCCCCGGAGGGGAACTGACCGGGTCTGAGGAGGACGAGCACGTCCGGGCCCCCGGTGCTCCGCACCAGCCGGGTCACTGTCTGCAGTGGGCTTGCAAAGCTTGTAAGCGCAAGTCCAGTACGGTGGACCGCCGGAGAGCCGCCACTATGAGGGAACGCCGCAGGCTGAAGAAGGTGAACCACGCGTTTGAGGCACTACGACGATGCACCTCGGCAAACCCCAGCCAGCGTCTTCCCAAGGTGGAGATCCTGAGGAACGCCATCCAGTACATCGAGAGCCTTCAGGACCTGCTAAGGGAACAGGTGGAAAACTACTACAGCCTGCCTATGGAGAGCAGCTCTGAGCCTGCCAGCCCCTCCTCGAGCTGTTCTGAAAGCATGGTAAATATTACTCTTACACTGTAAAAAATGCCTGTGAAATCTACAGTTATTTACTGTAGATGTCACAGTAACAATACTGTAAAAGATTTTTACAGTAGAATATTGTAAAGTTTACAGTAAGACCTTAAAAATCACAGTAGTTCAAGCATTACAGTGGAAATCACAGTAGTCAAAGCATTACTGTAAAAAATCACAATACAGCCACTAAAGTACTGTAAATAGTAAAGTAAACTACTGTAATTTTCCTTTTTTTTATCATATATATATATATATAAAGAATTTAAATATCTTTTGTTTGTTTGTATTTGTGACTGTAAATGGGTGTTAACAGGGCATAAACATATTTAATCCTTATCTTAAACTTCTCCAAAGTCTCCCCTAACAATATAGGCTTCATAAATGCATAATTTTTTGAGATATCATATCATCCTCTGATTTGAAATGAAGCATGACCATTGGTTATAAGTTGCAATAGTATTCACACTTTTCTATTAATATTAACATATTCATTTAATAAATATATTCTTAATGTTGGTTGTTTTTATCTTTTAGCTTAACGTTATATACTTCAATATTAATAACATTTGATTAATCATGAGTTTTGAATTTGAGCCAAAACTCTCAAGCTTTCTAGTATGTTTTGATTAATGTATCTATTCAGAATGAAGAAACCTTTTTATTATGTGTAGGTTATGTCATGTGCATTACTTTCCAAAATTGGGGCTGCCTGGTTAACTCATAAATACGTAACATGGGATTTTTATTTTACTTTTTTTTTTTTTTTTTTTCAGTGTTAATATATATATATATATATATATATATATATTTTCGAAAGCAGGAGAGATAAATGTGCAAGTTTCCAGAGCTGTTTCTGAGCTGCAAGGCGAAATCAAAACGCCGTCAGAGTGGGCGGGGTTTAGGCAGTCAAAGCTAGAGTCTGTTAGAAAAAAGCGCGAAAGAAGCATTTGAATTTCTGTTTCGTCGTCAGTGACAGAAAAGCTAAGTTAATAGTCGAATTTACGTTTTCGTAACAGTCTTTAACGTTAAGCTCCGTTAATAAGTCTAGTATTATTCAAATGTGCGTTTCTTTATACACGGCTTTGTCTTGTGGTTGTAAAGTTATTTATTTTGTTTTCGTCTTTGTGTTGATTTCTTTCACTTTTTGCCTGAGAGGAATTCAGCGAAAACGTTTCCGTGAGAGCGCCGACGGAGACGTTTTTACAGCCTTTAAACGTTATTAGTATTAGTTAGCCAACAGTTTACCTAGTTATCGGTAGCTAGCTAGCCAGGAGAATATTTTTCCCCCACCCGTTGCCTCAGCCGGAGTTTCCATCTTGGGATCGCGGATCCTTTACCAACTGCTAATGGGGATTCGGGACTTCCAGAAAATCAGTAAGTTAAGTAACGTTAACTTTACGTACCATTTTACACCCCCCAACATAATGCAGGTTGACAAGCCTCCAATTGTTCAAGTAAATACAGGTTTGTTTGTGTCAGGTTTATGTTATTGGTGGTTGAGCATTTTTTCTTTAATAGACCTCACCTCACAATAAATAATAACGTTAAGTTAACTAACATGGTGCTAACGTCTATCTCAATTATTGGTTAAATGCTGGGTAACTTAACAGTTAAAGTCACTGGTGTCCACTGTGTGAACAATATTTTAATTAAGAGAAAATTGATGTAACTTAGAGTGGTAATTGATAAAGTTATTGTGGTAAGTTACTTAGTTTTTTTATGAGTAAACATGCACAAACCTAAAGAGAAAAAAAGGCTCATTGCTTTCTTATCAACAATTTTTATAAAGCTTTTTCTATCCTAGTTAGTTACCTTCTTTCGAGTGACTCTTTATCTTTGCTGGCATAGGAGACTAACGGTACCACTCCCTCAGATGTAGAGGCCCAGCTGTCTCCTCCCTATCACTCTAAGGATTATCATGCTTGGTAAGTTTCACATTCACTGTTAACAAATCCTTAATGTATAACTTTATGCACAAGCAAAGCAACGTTTCTGGAAAACACTCGTGAATGCAATGAGTTTGTGTCGTGCCATTCTCTGCACTAGTCAGCAGTCACTTCAAAAACTAAAGTTATGTGGAGTAAGTTACTCTCTTATTTTTAGTAGCCACCTATAATGTCGTGATTACTATTTCAGATTGCTTGCTATGCCTGTATCACTCATTGTTTTTCTATCATCAAACCAGTAACTGCTATTTAAAGCATTAGTTCACCTCAAAATGAAAGTTTCCGAATAATTTACAAGATATCCATGTTTTTCTTTCCTTCCTCAATGAAAGAGAAATTACATTTTTGTAGGAAAACATTTCTAGATTTTTCTTTGAATAATGGGCTCCAGTAGTCCAACAATTGTAGATAAAAAGTATATAAATTATAATTTTTTTTTTTCAGAAAATGACTGATCATTTCGCTAGATAAGACAATAATCCTCAGCTGGGAACCTGTATAGTGCGTTGAAGTACTTCAAAGACCTTTGAAACTGCATTCATTTGGACTTTAAAACGTTTACAATTGAAGCCCATTATCCAAAGAAAAATCAAGAAATGTTTTCCCTAAACTTAATTTCTCTTCCACTGAGGAAAGAAAGACATGGATATCTTGGATGGCATTAGGGTGAGTAAATTATTAGGAGAATTCATTTTGAGGTGAACTAATCAATCCTTTAATCCACTGCTTCAAAGATATGTATGCTCCCTGCCCTGTTTTTACAATAATTTATGTGGAAAAAATCTTTTATTGAATGTATCGCTATGAAATATAATTTTTGTGATGACTCTTGTCTTTACTAAGGAGAGACTGCAAAAAAATGGATGCTGTCGATCAAGGGGAGGGTCGTAACCCCACCTGGTGCTCACATGGTGGACTTCACCACTGCCTTGGCCGCTCTCTTCGCCTGTTACGTATTCAACCTACAGTATTAGCAGTATTAGGTGGAAGCCAGCACAACACTGGAGTTTAATCAGAGGTATTTTTATATTAAATAATTTGACTGCAATGTAAAAGCACATTGACAATTGAAAAGCTGTTCAAAATCATCTTCTCCCTTTAAAATGTTATGTAATAGGTAGGGCCCTATGAAATCCATTTTATTTTTTCCCAAATTCCGTTTTATTTTTTCCCAAATTTCGTTTTTTCCGTTTTAATTTTAGGGAATTAGGTTTTTTTTTTACCCTTGACTGTTAATTTAGTTGTAAAAAATAGTATGCTTTTAAAGTTAATGATAAAAATGTATTAAAAAAATAAAAATAAATTAGGAATGACCTTAAATTTATTGAGGTAATACAGACAATTACTCAGTAGCCTTTTCAGGACAAATACTGCATGATGCAACATAACACTGCACTCTTCAAGTAACAACAAAATATGGTTATGAGCTTTAAACTGTCCAGTAATATAAATTATATTAGTTTATAAGTTTAAATAAAGTCACACTCTGTCTCTCATGGAGTTCGCTTCGCCTTTGTCCAGTCCGGCGCCTCAGACAGACGTGGTGTGCACGTCGTGTGTGTGTGTGTGAGAGACGCGTGAGTGAGAGCGAGACGGAGGGAGAGTGGGGAAATACAACTGAATGAATACGCTGCGTGTTTTAAATAGTGTTAAAAACCGAAACGCAGTATGTGGCGGCGAATTAAGTGTGGGAAACACTGCATAAATCACGTGCGAACTGCTCGGCACTGACGGCTTATAGCGTTGAGTTTCTTAACTTTTAGTCGACGAATGGAGAGCCGCTTCGCCATGCTTTCATTGTTTTGATTTCGTCTTTGGAGCTGAAATGACGGGTTGGGGGGTTGAGTCGCCCAGATTTGCTTCCCCCGGTCTGCATTTTCACCAGACATACGTTTTTCTCCCAGACAAAAACAGAATTTCAAACCAAATATGTAAAAATCCACGAAATTCCGCGTTAACACTAGATTCCGCGTTAATTGGCCAATTCCGCGATTTCGTTATCGCGGAAATCATAGGGCCCTAAATAGGGCTGGGCGATATGTCTGAAAACTGTATCACGATATAAGTGTTTCATATTGGTTGATATCGACAATTATTGATATTTTTATGACCTATTTAAAATAAGGACCATGAGAAAAATATATTACATTTAAACCTAAAGGATTAGTTCACCTCAAAATGTAAATTTCCTTATAATTAACTCACCCCAATGGCATCCAAGATATCCATCTCTTTCTTTCTTCAGTAAAAATGAACCGTTGGTCTAATAACACATTTTTACCTAGTCAGCCGTTCTCTGATATTTGTTTTCATGATAATCGAATGTAAAGAGTTTTATCTGTAAAAACAGTTTAGATTATAACGCTAGTATATGGGGACATATAATAAGTAAGATCTATCGCTAGTTTATACCACTAACAAGGCTCAAAATAGCCCCACACTAACACCAAACGGCATTCGTGGTTCGACTTGTCGAGACTGTTTTCCCAAGATGGCTCCTGCCTGTATACGCGAAGTGGACTGTCTTGATAAAATATCTTCTTATTATACTGTCTGTACACTTACAAAGTTCTCAATGCTTCGTTTTGGATGTAGGGACCCTCATTATGTTACTATGTTAGTGTGGGGCTATTTTGAGCCTTGTTAGTGGTATTAACTAGCGATTTCTTTTTACTTAGTCAATGCCCCCATATACTAGCGTTATACACTAAACAGTTTTTAGAGATAAAACACTTTACATTCGATTATCATAAAAACAAATCTCAGAGAATGGTCGACTAGGTACCAATATGTTATTAGACCAAAGGTTCATTTTGCACTGGAGTTCTCCTTTAAGAACTAATCCTTTAAAGGGGAAATTAAGCAGTCAATCAAGTTTACATGATTTACTAGATGGATTTCCACTAAATCAACAATTATACAAGACACATGACAAATGTAAACATATAAAAGAAAAAACTTTATATCTTTCGCCGCCAGGGTGCCGCCATTGCGCAGTATTCTAACATGTGACGTAACGGGGTTGGTTGGCTTTAGTTAATAGGCTTTGGGCAGTGAATATCCCAACATCAAACTGTTTACGCCACAGTGTTTTAACCACGGACGACTAATGTTAGGTACAGTTATTAGACAAAAAGACAATGTCTAATGTTATGTTGACAATCTGCACTGTGTTCACGTGTTCAAACATTGTTCACGATGTCTGCCATCATATTCCCGTCTCGTCAACACCATGTAAGTTACGTTGCTATGAACAGCCGGTGGTGGTTTGGGGCGAAGAGCGGGTTTGCAATGCTAACAGGTGTCAGTATGGCTGTTGAATTGCGATGCCCACTGTGTCAGAGTCCATCTGCTTTCAAGAGGTTGATCTTGACCATGCGTGGTCAATTCTGCATCACTGGCACGCACGTTTACCATGCTATACCATCTATACTAGTTAAAACTCATAAATAACTACAAATAACTAATGTTAGGGTAATCTGTTATGTTTTGTTGCGTGTTTCTTAAAATATATATCGGCCGATATATAGGAATATCGGATTTTAAAACCAACAAATATTTGTATCGGTATCGGCCTTCAAAATCCTTTATCAGTCGGGCTCTATTTAAAATAACTGATCTGTCACGAGACGTCTGAATCGGTGTATAACAAATTGGTAACACTTTACAATATGGTTCCATTTATTAAACTCTAGTTAACTACATTAGTTAACATTAACTATTAATAAACTGCACTTCTACAGCATTTATTAAACTTTCTAAATGTTAATTTCACCATTTACTAGTAGCCTAAATTATTTAAATAAGTTGTATTTGTTAAAGGAACACTCCACTTTTGTTTTTTATTGGCTCTACAACTCTCCCAGAGTTAAACAGTTAAGTTTTACCGTTTTCGAAACCATTCAGTCGATTTAATGTGTTTTCTTCTTTAATTTCAGGGCTCCAAATAGGATTCTCTGTCTCCAAGGTCAAGGCATGCAAGAGGCCACAGACCTTTGCCAAGTGGCAGGGGAAGTTTATTTTCCTTTCTGTTTTAAATGTTCATACAAATGTTAAATATATATTTTTTTAATGTTCAATGTTTTATTTTATTTCAATATTGCCATAGTGTTATTTATTGCTCTTTAGAATGGGGTAATCAGTTATTTGCACAACTTCAAAGTAGTTAAATTTTTTGACTGTATTGTATCAATTTGCATTATTGTTCCATTATAGCAACTAGTCATACGGAACTAGTGAATGAACTAGTAACAGTTTGCTCTGTAACTTTACAAATCTTGTAATGAAATAGGCTCGTTGTATCAATTTGTATTAGCCTATTGTTCCGTCATAGCAACCTGTCATACAGAACTATTGAATGAACTAATAACAATTTGCTCTGTAACTTTAAAAAAACGTTTTGTAAAATTTTCTTCAGTCGTAAATTAAAGGAACACGACAACTTGTTGGGACTTTAGCATATTCACTGTATCCCCCAGAGTTAGATATATCTCGTGCATGCTGTAACTCTGTCTGACACACCCACCGCTAGCCTAGCTTAGCACAAAGACTGGGTCTAAATAACTCCAACTAGCATACTAATCCCAATAAGTGACAAAATAACGCAAACATTTTCCTATTTACATGTTGTGATTTGTATAGTCACAGAGTGTACAAAAAACAAGGTCATATGTGACACAGCCATCTTTACCGTATAAATATTGGGAACTATATTCTCAGAATGCGAAACACTGCTACTTGGGCGGAGTGATAACCGCAGCACCCGAGACGCGCCATGGAGAGGAGCAGAGAGTTCGTTCAGAGTTGGAATAATAGAGTCAGCAATTACTAGATAGTGAAAGCATAGTTTACAATCATGGGTGTTCGCTGTATTGTAAAGAGCTGCGACAATAAATGGGAGACCAGGTAATGCCATGATGTTTCATAGAATTCCAAACAAAAATGCTGACCTGTGATATTTATTAGTCAGGATGCATTTTTGTTTGGAATTCTTTGAAACATCATGGCATTACCTGGTCTCCCATTTATTGTCGCAGCTCTTTACAATACAGCGAACACTCATGATTGTAAACTATGCTTTCACTATCTAGTAATTGCTGACTCTATTAATCCAACTCTGAACGAACTCTCTGCTCCTCTCCACGGCGTGTCTCAGGAGCTGCGGTTATCACTAGCAGTGGTTCGCCTTCTGAGAATATAGTTCCCAATATGCGGTTAAATGATGGCTGTGTCTCATATGACCTTGTTATTTGTACACTCTGATTTATACAAATCACAACATAAATAGGAAAATGTTTGCGTTATTTTGTTACTTATTGGGATTAGTATGCTAGCTGGAGCCATTTACATCCAGTCTTTGTGCTAAGCTATAGGCTAGCGGTGGGTGTGTCAGACAGAGTTACAGCACGCATGGAGATGAAAAAGGTATGTAAGGATTTATCTAACTCTGGGGGATACGGTGAAAAAGCTAAAGTCCCAAAAAGTCAGAGTGTTCCTTTGAATTTAGCAACAGTAGAATAAGCATGATAATAGACTTCACGCCATTAGACTATCTAAAGTTAACACTCCGCTGGGTGTTGTGGCCACATTACTTGCATAGAACGTGCATTAACTTTGGATGGTATAATGGCATGTTGTCCAATGTCCATTATCCCTTTGTTGTACCTGTTTTGTCATTTCTGTTCACCAAATCTTTTTAAATAAATAACTGTTAACAATTTTCTTATTGTCTGCAGTTGATTGCAATGTTTTAGAAAAATGGGTGTTTCTTTTAATGATGGCTAATATTAAATGATAGTGATGTAGTATTTAAATTGTACAGTGAGAAACTGAATTTACAGTGCTTAACCGTTATCTACTGTTTATAGTACCGTGTTGCATACAATACATAAAAAACAGTGCTTAACGTTTTTGTATGTAAATTAAATTGAAATTTTCTTCTACAGTAAAACAATCAATGGTGTAAATAGAACTAAAATCACAATATTTCAATGTTTTTGATTTCACAGTGTTTACATAAAATACTGTGAAAAGTACACTACCCTTACTGTAAAACGTATTCACAGTAACTTACTGGCAACGATTAGCCAGTAAGTTACTGTAAATACAACTAAAATCACAGTATTTAATTGTTTTTGAATTCACAGTATAAACATAAAATACTGTAAATGGAAGTACAGTACCCTTACTGTAAAGAGTATTCACAGTAACTTACTGGCTAATCGTTGCCAGTAAGTTACTGTAAATTTTACAGTCAATTTTTTACAGTGTACGCTACTGTGGGCTTCACATTGAGAGACATCATATTGAAAGGCTACAAAAACTTTCCTAGGTCAGGGCCCAAAAACTCAGAAAAGGCCTTTTCAGTGTATAGTTTTGAGGCTTTCATCTTTTTGTCTGTATTCAGACAAGGTCATTGTACTCGTCTCTCCATGTTTTCATCGACATATTTTATGTCAAAAGCACACAGGGGATTTTATCCCTCAAATGGAGTCAGGGTTGCCTCACTCTCAGCACGACAACGATAAATTGCTGCCAACATCTGGCTCTTCTTATATGCTGAGATATAAACTTACTGCCGTTTGTCAGGGAACTTACAGTAGATGTGGTATGTTGCAACATACCGGGTTGATATTTGGTAAAAAATTAACAGAGTTTATTAAATTGCTGATCTTAGTTGTGTCTGTTTTGATGCGCTCTTGCTCAGCAATATGCAGGTTTTCTTCTCAATGCACATTTGCGAACGACGCACAGATGAACATTATGTTTATGTTTTTATGATGTTTATATAGGCCATACTTGGGGGCATATTCTTTGATTTGGTTCTCATAATGTAGTAAGTGCAATGTAGTTTTGCTAATTTAGCTTGATGCTAATATTTTTGCTAATCGTTTGTTGACAAAGACTTCAATAGCCTAGCTATATAAAAAAGTAATTTAGATGTTACCACATGTAACACATTTTTAGGTTACCTGACTATAATTTTTTACAGGGTATCTAGTGTTTATTTATTCGAGAACATACTTTTGTAAGCGAGGCATGTCCGTTTAGAAAAGATTGCTAGTCATTTGTTGACAAGGCCAAGACTTCTAGACGTAATTGCTCCGAGCAAGTTGATGAGTTATAGTAAAACTTTAATAGAGTAGACCTGTCATTGAGATTTAGACGTGTTCTACACGAATGAAGACAAGAAGTCAAACAGCAATGGTACAAACGATGTGAGATGTTGATTCACAAAACATTTATGACAACATATCTCAGTACAGGGTTTGAGATATTATATAGGTGGATATAGCAATGGCTTTCCCACTGGACTCTTTATAGCCCAATAAAGCCTCAGTAAATCTGGCCAACAGAGACTGGCAGGAAAGTGGCGGCCGTGCCGCATTCCTGACTGACTGCATGAGCTGCGCTGCTGCCAGGATTTTCTGGAGATTTACTCGCAGAAAGTGTCATCTTGCACAAACTGGTGTGGCTTCCACTGACTTAATCAATTCGCCACGCCTGAAGCCCAGCGTAGCGTGGGAGTCCCTCGCATAGGAACCAGCCTGTGAAAGAAAGAGATCTAGTGAAGCGCATGGAGCGTGGTCATTCTCTGCTCGTGGCTCCAGTGATGCTCGAGTTGTTGTAGGGCAACAGAATCAACCCATGTCTCATGTGCAACATGATCACTGCTTTATATTTGTGAATGCTGATGGAACTTTTTTGTGCTCTTCATTAAGGTTGACTGCAACAGTCCTGTATGGCCTCACATGAATCCAAACTGTGGGAATAACTACAACTTTAATGCACAGAATGGTAAGAAATTAACTTATATAACTTATATATATATATATGTGTGGAGTTCTTTGTGTCACTAATAACGTAATCTTTCTCGATCAATACAGCTAGTCTGGTGGCCAGAACTCCAGGAGCGTCTAGTTTGCAGTGTCTGTCCAGCATCGTGGACCGGCTGTCCTCTGTGGACACGGGAATTGCAGTGGGAATGAAGAACATGGTCGCTCTTTCTCCGACTGGAAGTGATTCCCAGTGCAGTTCTCCAGACAGTCCCAGCGACAGACCAGTCTATCACGTCCTGTGAGAGGGAGCGAGACACACAGGGCATGTTCATTTTGGATCATTTGTTAATGCTTTCCGAAACCAATAAGAGTGTAGTAATTTCAAACCTCCATTCAGCACAATTACAAAGGTTTGCCCTCAAATTGAAATGCAAACAAAAATGTGTGCATTCTTTCTGGGCCTGGTTATAGGTTTATGTCGTCAGGCTTTAACTTAACTGTCTTAAAAAAAAAAACAAATATATCACATTAGAATACAAACAATGGATATTAATGTGTTGGCTGACTATGTAGCTTAACTATATTGTCATTGGTTTTATTTATCAATAATAATCGCTGTGGTACTTTTTTTATTTTTATTTTTTTTTGTATAGGCCTACTTGATGTTGTCCACCATCTTGTAAATAAGATTGTACATAATTTTAAATGACTGTTATTGTATTCAGGTAATGTTTTTCTCTGTCATATTTAATGCACATTGTCACATAAAATGACTTTTTCTCCAATAATAAATCTCAAAAAGTTGTATTTAATAGTACCGTTTGTCACTATTTGATTTAAAATGAGGAATTTAATTCTGGGGTGCTTTTTGCGTCTCACAGTAAATATTGACATTTGTCAGCTGCTAGAAAATCATGGCTGTCGGAGGAGGACAGTTGGTAATATGATGAGTTGGATGTTGAAGAAAGAGAGAGAGAAAGGAAATGAGCTCTGCGTGCCTGTTTTTTAAGTAACAAATGTTACACATCATTCACACCCTCTTAATACCATTGTCATGAACAAATGGCCACATGCTGACACTTCAAGGTGCTGCTTGTGTGTGTATGTGTGTGTGAGGGATGGAGAGAGAGGGAGAAAGAGAGAGAGGTAGAAAGAGAGTCTTTGCACAAAAGAAAGAATTTGTTTAATTTCATTATTTCTCACAATATTGGTAAGATGCATTAGTGGGTCAAGTTGTTTCACCTGATTAATCTACACAAGTATTATTTTGTGACAACGCGTTCTCATCCCAAAGCGCCATATAAGACGCTTTTGCAAAAGCGTAAATATCCAACGCACATGGCACCCTTTAACGTGAAATGAGACGCAGATATATTTGGGCAGAAGGCGCCCCCTAGTGGTCTAACCCTTACCCTACACCATACCTAAACTTAACCATTAACCGAAGCGTCTCATTAGACGTTAAAGGGTGCCATGTGCGTTGGATATTTACGCTTTTGCAAAAGCGTCCTATATTAATGTGCCCATCATATACAGTGTTATCAAGTAACAGTGGTGATTTAAATTTGATGCAATTAAACAAACAAACAAACAAACAAAAAACACTCAGAGAGTGAACTTTACTATAATCAATGTTTATGTGTGTACAATTACTATTTTTTTTACATCCTTAGACTTCAGTGGCATAAGACTTTATGCACTGTAAACTATTTTTTTCATGATTTGTAATCACAACTTTTTAAAATCTTTTTTCAAATCAACTTAGATAATGTGGTTAAGATAACATACTATTTTGAGTTTCTAATTAATGTGGTTTTGACATAATATTTTGAGTTTCTATTTATTAAACCAATCTATTAAACTAATCTCCCTCACTGCATTAACTAATTTTTTCATTTCAATTAAGTCAACTTTTTTAGGCAACCTGGTTACTTTTTTAAGTTAAACCAACAAATACATCTTGTACACTTTGGGTGTAAAGATAAATTAATAAAACATGAAAAATACACAGTAAATTAAATTCTACCCCTCATCCACATTTTTTAGAGTTATGGCATGACTGTAATGTGCATTCATAAAAGCAATGTTTTTGAGCATATCTGCTCACTCCTAGTGTTCTTGTTAGTGAATCAAATTAGAAAACAACCTTCAAGCAAACAAAACAAACCAAAAAAACAACAACAACAATTTGCAACTCCCATTAAAGTAGCTACTTTCACATTTTAATAGGTGCCTATTCAGTCTCTTGAGCCAATTTTGCTCTAAAGAGTTTCAATAATGCATTAGAGGATCTTTCGCTGAGAATCTTTCAAAGCGCCTTAAGTACAGTAGATTCAATTTCAGTAAGCAATCCTGTCGCCCACCTGGCTAACTCCAAATGCAATGCAGGAAATATTCATGGATAAAGCTCTACTATAATCCGTTAAATGACTCATATATTGGATTTATTATTAACCCTTTAAAAGATTTGAACATTCAATGGATTAAATAGCATAGTATGCTCTGAATGCTCATGTTAAAAGCTTTTCATTATAGGCCATAAAAGGTGACTTTTTCACTTAAAAAAAACTTTTTTTATTATTGTGTGTGTGTGTGTGTGTGTGTGTGTGCGTGTGTGTGTGTGTGTGTATGTGTGTGTGTGTGTGAGAGAGAGAGAGAGAGAGAGAGAGAGAGAGAGAGAGAGAGAGAGAGAGAGAGAGAGAGAGAGAGAGAGAGAGAGAGAGAGAGAGAGAGAGAGAGAGAGATAGAGTCATTATCTTAATGTCTTGACAAAAAAAGAGAAAGAAATTACACTCATTCTCTAGGGAAAAAAAATATATAGTTGAACTGACAATCTTCATTGACAACAATGCACTTAAGAGCTTTGACCACTAGAGTGCAGTGTTTTCTCAAGTGCATACACAATGGCAAAAAAAGGCCTTTTACACTGTAAAAAGAGTTAAATACAACCAACTTGGATGTTTAAGTCACTTCTAATTAAATTATATTAAACTGACTTAAAAATGAGATGAATCAACAAACAAAAAAAGTTGATGAATTATTTTGGTGAGTTAAAGCAATGTAAAAACATTTGTTGTCATAACTTATTGATCATGCCATTTTTTAGTCTGTCAGGTTTTAAAATGTCATAGGCAGCTGAATTAAATGTAGTTTGTACAGAAGAAACTTTTTTAAATTAAGATTTCAGATGTGAAGAGGTTATCTGAAGTAACTTCTATTAGTAGGCTATATTACTTATTTAGCATACCATGCTAACAATCTAATTTTCTAGAAGAGAAAATAAATTGGACGGTGGAGAATTTAAATAACACTTTCTGCGGGTTACAAAGTTATGTCAGTTAGTAGCTAATGGCGAGGATTGGCTTGTGTATTGAGCGAGTCATTGAATCACTCAAACAGACGATTCCTTAAAAAATGACTCATACTCTGATGAGTGAATTACTTGGTTTTGGGCATAAACAGTAAAAGGTCTTGGGCTAACGTTACTACAACAAACGCCATCGGTTTCTCGGGGACTCGACGGGTGATTTAGCTGTTTGGGACGTTGGCGCAGCAAAAATAGAGAAAGAACCGGACTTGTATCTAAACTGTAAGTTGCTCTATATTAACGTTTTATTTATTGAACAGTTGTTGAAACATGATATGTTGGACATGGGATAACATTTTTGCTTCTTTAATGCACATTTATTTCATCTGTATCTCTTGGGATTTGGTAAATAAACTACAAATTGTCAATTTTTAGGGGGTAACTTGTTAATTTTCCTGATAGCTAGTTTGTAAAATTAAACGCCTGTCGGCGGTGCCCTTCACTGAAGGACTCTTTTAAAAGGGGCCTTCTTGAAGAGATTTAGTCCTCTGAATAAAACGTTCTCGTATCTTAATTTTCTTTTTCATGATTCATTTTGTTTATTGTTTTTTAGGCTACTTCTCAATTTCTATCCATTGAAATATTTTAGAGCAAAGCAAACTTTAAAGAAAACAAAAAGGGATTTTATTCATTCCTACTTATTATAGGCCTGTAAATCTATTTTTTAAACTGTCCAAGTGATGAGGCAGTATGGACATGAACGTTTTTTTTTTTAAGTAACGTTAGGCCTATTCATGTTTTACCTAGTTTAACACAGAGATGAAACACAAAAGTGTAACTTACTGATGTCCCACAGGTTTAGATATAAAGCTCTGATTTAAAATTCACCAGACCTACAATTCCAAGTGCAAATCCACTTTGATCCAAGTAAATCTATGTGCTGCCTTGGGTATAGGCTACCCTTGTTAGTGATGAATAAAATATTTTAGAAAAGTTTCAGGGTTTTCCAATGGATATAATCTGTTGTTGTCAGGATTTTGCTCAGATTTTCTGCCAGAGAATATTACATTTGTAAGTCCATTGGATGCTTGATGAGTGTAAAAGAATTTCACTTCAGCTTTGAGTTCAATCTCTGTTAAACATTGTTTCATCATCTGGTTGTCTTTGGATAGAAGAAGACTTGAAGAAGTCTTGACTAAAAGTCTTCTATGCATGAAGAAAGCCAAATGATTCATTTAAATGCACAGACACATCACTAACACCAACACATTCTGCTGTGGTTTGCAGCTGTTTTTGATGGCAGACTAAAAAGAGACAGACAGTTTGTGTCTAAAATGTAATTACATGATATTAGCTTCTTGTTTATTGAACTGTGTTGATTGGTCACCAGGATGTTGCAATATACAATATATGCTAAAGTGTTCCAAGTGGTTGTAAGCAAGTTTCTATACGTTCACTAGGGTGTTCTGGATGGTTTCTATGTACTTAAGAAACAAAGATTCAAAGCTTTCAACACACGCACATATATTTATTTATTTATACAAATATAATATGTATAACAATTGCATATCACTCGGTATTTTTTTCAATGTATAATAAGATCAGCTTGTCTAGCCTCAAAAATGCAAGTCATTAATAGGAAAGTCTGTAAGTAAACATATAAAAGGGAAGAGAATACATTAAAATGAATTGATTGACAATCAAGGAACAAATCAACTTGGCTTGATTTTGTCTATTAGGATGACACGTTTACATGTTACCCACAGTCTGAGATTACTCAAAAACCAACCAACAAAGGAACTAATTTAAGTATCTACCAAAGTCTTACGTCAGGAAAACCATCAAACCAAATTACAATAACACAGATACAATTTTACCTTTGATTACTGGTGGTGGTTATCAACTACTTGCTGATTTACAGTTTTGCTTCTATATGACTTCAACTAACAGTACAACTACAGCGCTGCAATGGATAGACATTTTGCCATCTTTTGACGGCTTGAGTTAAGGGAAAGAAGTCGTGAAATAAAAATGCAATAACATTTTTTAGAAAATAAAACAAAATGTAGTAGATTAACTCTTGCTTTTTAAATTGATTGTCAATGTTAAAATGTTTCTAGTGAATGAGGTGGTCGTTTATGTGAACACCACAAAAAAATCTTTCAAATCTTTTAAAACAATCTTTATCTAAGATAATAAACTTGAAAATAGAACTTTAACATAACAAAATACTGTTAAAATTTACCTTTGTAGATATCATGTATCTGTGTTTGACATTCTGTTTGTCTTCAAAGTAAATATTTTCATATATATTATGAACTATGTCTGAACTTAAATAGAATTTTCTGAATTTGATTTTAATTTCAGGACTAGTGACATCACAACCATAAAACCGCATCAAAACTGTACAGCTGTTATCATGCAGGACCTGTTAAAGGTCAAGTGTGTAATTTTCGCACAACTTTTCCACAAAACAAAATTGCGAAAATAAGGACTACTTTCAAACAGGTTTCCAAAACACTCCCTTTATGCCATTGGTTTCCAAACATGAAGTCCAGACCTAAAACCACACTATTGGTTGGATGCGCAAACAAATAGTGTATGCAGTCTTCTAATATACCAATGCAGTGTTTATATTTTTACTTATGGTTAAATTTGTATATTAACATAGGATCAGAGATTGTTTTGCAAAAATTACAGACTTTTCCTTTAAATATGCCCACCATACAATATGCCAAATTTCTGTAATAATCTCTGTCAATGGCACTGTGATACAGTGATATCATACGAAAATTCTGTGCAAATGGTTTTTATGGTTTAGTCTGACTTATGTCACATGGTGCATAAGATACAGTTTTATAGTAACTTTACCCTTGTAAGACGAATCTTCTACGCTTAAAGTTCACTTTTTACCCATACTTTGACAGTAGAATACGACAAAACAAGTGTTATTGCTATGCTAAATCTACTTTCTTTACAAAATATTCCTTGCTACAATATGGTATAAAATACCTCAGTGTTATCCAATTATGGACTACTGACATAAAAACTGCTTTCTTTTCACAGAGACACCAGCACCCTTCGTTACTGTACAACGCTGTGGCAACAAAAACATAATGAAAAAAATAAATAAAATTGATGAACGCTTTATCACATTGTCACTAAACTACAATAGGGACTTTTTTAAGAGGGTCACAACTTGCGATTGGTTCCAGACAACTGAAATATGAACAAGTAAGAGTAAAACAATGTACTCAGTGCTAGTCTTTCTCTATGACATCATGCCACATTTTTCCAAGCACCGATTTGGAACACAGATCATGGAGTTTTCAACCTTTTTGAGTTGTAGGTAGTTGACTGAAAGAGGATAGTCTTCACTGGAGAACAGTAAGGTTCCTCTTCCGAGATCTCTCGGACCTCCTTACATCACGTCAGTGAGATTAAGTCTCACCCAGTGTCCTCTACTTTTTCTTCTTTTGGAACAGCCTGTGAAAAACCAAAAGGACAAAAGCTGAGAGACGATTATGTTAATAGCCGAACATAAATTGTGCTTTCCCAATTCTTTAGCTTTAAAACAAAATCTTGTCTAGACAGTTTGCTTCTGACATTTTTGGCCGTTCCAAAATTCATATTATTTATGAGATGCCTTGTTTTGGGGGAAAGGTGGCACCGCATGCTTCCTTTGTAGACAAGTCATTTCCAGAATACATTATGAAAAGCCTTGAAAAGTTTTACATTTTCTGATAAATTTCAATATTTATTCGTTGGCCGGTTACATAAAGTTCACATACTGTTTGGCATGTCTCATATTAATTTTCCCATATGCTTTGTAGTTGTTTTTCAAAAACCTTTTCCGATATCAGCCCTCTTTTTAAGCTAGGAAAACTTTTGGATGGTTTCTATTGGATAAGAGCTTATTTTAGACTAGGTTCTCAACCCATGTAACTCCACGCCATGGTCCCCCATTGTTAAGTTTATTGTCATTGTCATCCAGAGAACAGCAACGAAATTGTGTTCGGAGCATACAACAACCGTACATGGTGTATTAATGTGCACTAACAAATAAATAATAAATACCCCCTGTGTAAACATGACACATCAAAAGTATATGGTTCAAGTTAATACATGCAGACCCCTGCAACCCCCGATAAGTTAAGATATGACGTCTTGTCCTGCTGAAATAACAAAAACACAAGTTTCTTTTAGACATTAGACTTAAATGTCATTAACAGAAAGCAGTGTTGGGTAAGTTACCTGTAAAAAAGTAATTAATTACTAGTTACTAATTACCTCTTCAACAGTGTAATTAGATTACTGTACTAATTACTCTCTCTAAAACGTATTTAATTACTTTTAATTACTAATTACTTTCAAAATCCCATATCAATCTCAACCAGCTGAATAATACAACGATAGACTTGAATCTGTTTTAATTCTTTCAAATAAATACTATAAAATTGCATAAATTATCCTTAAACTGACCAAGGTGGAGAAGGCTACATTATAAACACATACTTTTTAACATCAGACAATACATTTTGATGTTTTATGTCTGATCTCATGACATTTCACACTTTTTTCATACATATTTTACAATAATTCATATGAATTTGTACGAGTGCGGTCGTAATATTTAGACGCCTCATAAAATGCATTCGAATCGCTGTGAGATCGGATTGATCTATACACAGTATTAACCTCAATTACATCAGAAGTAACTGTAATTAAATTACAGATAAATGAAGAGTAATCCCTTACTTTACATTTTCAAGGGAAAAGTAATTAAATTACAGTAACTAATTACTTAGTAATTAGTTACACCCAACACTGACAGAAAGTAAAGCCAAACGTATACTTCCCTTGTCTGCAATTCGCTGTCCTAAGAGTAAAAAACTGAATTTGCCAATACAAGCCTTTTAGTAATTTGAAAATTTTGGAGTTTGTTACGAAAAAAAAAAAAAAAAAAAGGTTAGATAGCGCAGTAGTTCACGTAATGTTCCCAGATGTTTAATTCATAAATATATGGTTTAGCATTTAATTGTTAAATGATTTATAACTGATAAATTCAAGATATTTTTGTGTCTCCCCCCTTTCCCCAATCTACAATAGATCTTGACTTGAACTGATCTTATTTGTTTTTCAGATGTGTGTGTGTGTTTGGTGTGGTGGTTTAGTGTTGGCAGAGTGCTCTGACTGTGGCTTTTCTGTTCGGTCCAAATGTCTTGATAGGGGATGATCTGGAGCTCAGCTCTCTCACCATGATCCTCTTGCCCAGACATAATGTCCCAAAAACGCTCAGCAGCTCACAAGCACATATGATTTTATAGCCAAGGATTTTTTAGCCACAAGCAAGAGATGCACAAGGAATTCCATTAGGCCTCTGGTGATAAGTGAGGCCAGTGCCTCTGTGAGAAGTGTATCCACACGGACATGCTTTTGAGTCGGCACTGCTTATAGCTTCATTTTAGGCTTGGATGGTTTCTAAGGCGAGGTTACAATGCTGCCAACTATACTGCTGCTTAGAGCTAACTATGGTGTGAGGAAGCAATGAGGCGAGAGATAGGCCACGCCGCGTATCATTAATACAATGAGATGTGCTTTGGTTCTTCTGGAAAAGACTGACTAATAGAATTCGTTCATATTGTATTGCATTTGCAAAGATGAAAGACGTCTTGAGATAATAAGAGTGTTGTTATTTCAGAACAGTGATATTGGAAGTGATAAAGGATGACACACTTTCTCTTTTTTAATATAGAAGTCTCCCTCCCGCTGTTTTAGAAGTTAATAGGTGATGTTACTTGAAAATTATTCTGACAATGACTAAATCTATTTGCACCAAATAGAAAAAAAGGCAGTATTTTGTAAGCCTGCATGTGTATATAATTGAAAAACTAGGTTTATTGCAATGAACAAATCAAACAAATGTAATTTAAATAGCTCAACACAACAAATGTTTCTAGTGGTTTCCCAAAATTTAACTGAAAATGCAACTTTTAATGACTTCTACAGTTTAAAAATGATTCAACCCCTGAATAGTATCCCTCACAACAGCACAAATCTGCAAAACAGGTGTTGTCTCACTAATCAAGGGCACCAAGTGTGTTTGAGCAAGAACTCATGAAATATCTGAACTGGCTAGGCTTATTGAGTAAGTTAGAAATATGGCTAAGTCAAAAGAATGGTAAAATCAAAGTGCTTTGATTAGTCTAAATGTCAACATTTTCATTTTTGTGTGAACCATCCCTTTAACTTAAAGTATTACTAAAACAAATGTTCCATCAGTGAAATTTACAGACTTAAAAAGGCCCCTTAGGTGCAGTAATAAAAAAACGATTGATTTCTCATTGAAATAGTTCTTAATTTTCCCTTGAAAGTCCCTTAAGAGTGATCCTTCAATGTCTGGACAACTGCCTGATAAGCGAATCCTTTTTATTGAGCTCAATCTGTGATGTCATCAGCACTCCTCGCCAGCTTCTTCAATTGATTCATTATCTCACATCATGACATAACAGCTGAGTTTCAGACATAATAGCTGTCTGTTTTTAGAACAACGTTCCTCTGGTGACAGGCAGCATGTAGTACCAGATCTCCCACAGGCCTCAAGGGTTGGTGGGGCAGCTACCTCTCTGTGTGCCATCCTGTTGAGGTCCTGTTACCCTTAAAGCAATGAAAAGCCTCACCTACGACATGTGGTTCTGCTGGGCGGCCAGGTTTTGCTGCTGCTGTTGCTGCATGAGCAGCTGCTGCTGCTGGCGTCTACGGGCGGTACGGAGCTTCTCGAACCTCGCCTCCATCTCCTCCAGGACTTTAGGGGTGTAACGCACCACCAGTTTGACACTGTCTTTGGCTGCTTTCAGTAACTCCACAGCCTTCTCGTGGTGTTCACCCTCGACGCTCTGAGGAAAATAATTCAGTAGTCAGAACATTTCATCTCTCTTTGCGCGTCCAATGGTTTGTTTATGGCTCCTGGAACTTTATTATATCCAAATTCAGCTCAAAACTGCACTAGAAAATACTCCACGGTGATGAACATTCAATTACATTTTGGCACAAAAGAGCCATTAATTTCCTATTAGCTCAGGAACCGTAACATGTTTGGTTTAATGAGAAATTGCCTCTCAAATGCTGTCCCAAAATGCCTTCCTTTACAGTCTTTGACGCAAATGAAATCAAATGAATCCTCTGTCATCTTCGAGCGAGTAAGCACAAGCAGTGGACATTAGTTTCTATAAATTCAAATTTAATAAAATTGTAACAATGTGGAATGTCGGCAGAGAAGAGCAAAGAAACTGGCTTCAAAAAACTTCCCTAGAGCAGACAGCTTTTTTTTACTGAAAGACTCATTTGGATTTATTCAAAGATTCATTCTCATCTGGCTTCAGTGACAGTCTGACACATCTTAAAGTTTACAGCGATTTATGAAAAGATTTCAAGAAGTCTTTGAAATCTGTCCTTTTCAGTTTTACATACAGTCCTGCTCTAAGCTTTCGGTCTTATTTGTCCACATTTACAGTAGCATTTTAAAATGTTAAGCTTAGCCTTAGTAGAATGAAAAATTTTAAAATTTCAGTCTCTAATGGGTCTGAGATAATAACAGCTGCAAAATTTTTGCTATTTTAGCATATTACGCCATGGTGGGATCAGCCTTTTAGACAGTTGGAAATTCACGGAGATCAATGTAAAAAATCTTTCTGCTGTAATAATCTAACTAATAAGCCAAACTGATCTGTATAAATTTAAAAGCCAGTGGGCCCTCCAGCATGATGGCATCTTATTTTGGCATTATACTTATTTTTTGCACAAACAATGTTTGGAAATGTTTTCCCCACTTTACCTGTAAAAAAAAAAAAACCCTCCTACATTTTGTGCAATGCTTCCTTTGTGCATTTAAGGATAATTGATCTAAACGCTGACAGGTCATTCTTACTATGCAGTAACGTTTCATGTCTCCATCATTAATGTCTAAATACATTGGATAAAATATATAAAACTCAGTTCTTAAGTAAATAGAGAAGTGAATTTTAAATAGTTTTACTACTTAAAGCTGCAGTCTGTAGCTTTTTGGGGTTAAAAATGCATAACAAGCCAGTGTTCCAAGCTATCTGTTTGCCTTAGCTCAATTCAAAGCGGTTAGCATGTAATAATGTTTTTAATTCCAGCGGTACTGGTGTATTTCCGCGGGAGATTTGAGCATGTCTTTGCGTCATTACGGCACATCTGTACACATAAAGAATGAGTCTCGGCTAGTAGGCTACAGTTTATCGCGTGTGAGGATGCTGGAGTTGGAGATTTATAGCCATTTCTCACTGTACTTGATATAATTAAACTTATCAATTCGATGGCGGATCCAGAAAGGTTCAAACGAAAATCACCAGTGACAACAGATTCACCTGCTGTAAAATGCAAAAGACTTTGTTCAGACTTTGTAGTGGCTCCAGAAATAAGAGACTCCAACCGAACCCATGTGAAAACAAGGATACATATCAGAAGGACATTACATGTAGTCACGCAATGCTGATGCTGTTAATATTAACAATTTGAGAACAAAGTATAATTTGCATGGTTTTGCATGATATAATAATAACTTATAAGCGATTGTTAGATTTAATCTGCAATGTCAGAACCAGAACAAAAGCGGATGTTTCTTACTGGTTCAGGTGACATTTCCCAGTGAAAATTCTTATGTTGGTCATACTTCCAAAAAGAATAATCTGTGATTCTGAATGCCAGTATCGACACTGGTGCGTTGACTGGCAGACTCACAGTCTCCTCAAACATTGTGTTCATCCACGCTGTGCAGTGTCGAGGGTGTTGAAGTACAACTCACGTAAAGTTGATTATTCTGCGAATGACTGCAATTGCAGATTTTAAACAGAGATGGCGACAAAGAGGAAAAACGCTGGACTGCAGCTTAAGCTTAAGTTTATGTTCTCTTTTTGTATAATTTTCCTATATTCTAACTATATTTTTTTATAGGGTTTCACTTTCCATCCTGCATATTAATAATATCAATTCAACTAACAAAGTGATGACATCATACTCAAAGAAGGGAAATTCTTTTCAATGTTAAAACAGCGCATGCTGCAGTAAGTATTAGCAATATTAGCTACCTTTAATGTGTTTTGAGTTTCTTGCTATTGTGTGAATAACCAAAACATAATTAGTAAAGTGCCTCAGCTTTTAAAGTCTTGTATATCTTTTTTAATAGAAATAGGTATGTCCTGAAATTAAACACATGCATATTATTTTTATAGAGTTACAGAGTACAAAAGTTTGAACATCACTGGCAACTCACCACTCCATTGACGGACAAGAGTTGGTCTCCTCTCTTAAGACCACCATGCCGCTCAGCCACGCCCCCAGGGATAATGCGTGAGATGTAGATCGGTGAGTTCTGCTCTTTTCCACCCATCACATTGAAGCCAAGCCCCTCATCCGTCTTGGGCAGCTCCACCACCCTCGGGTGGGAATGACCCTCACTGGCAGCAAATGCCGCCACAGTTGCCTGGTGGGAACCAAAGAGTTCAATGTGTCAGTGAATATGAAATGTGACTGAGAAATATAGATAGACCAATATATTACCATTACCAAGCCTGATTTACAAGATAATTGTCACAGGGTGGACACATAATACTACAGCAATGCTACAGCACACATAATGGTAATTAACAAGACACAGGTGACAACAATGATGACAGGCAGGTGCAAAAACATGTTTTCGCACCTGCCTGTCATCATTGTTGTCACCTGGGAAGTGTAGTGCAGAGGCAGAGACAAGACAGACTGTGACATTACACCCCCCTTCCAGTAGGCGCGTCCTCGCGCCGTAGAAGGACCGACACCAGAGGGAGAGAGGGACCAGGGCGGAGACGATGTAGGGAGGAGCCATGGAGGCGACTGAATTGTAGATAGGGACACAAAAGGACACGGTGGAGACAGAGGCAATGAGGACCAAAGGGGAACTGAGGGGAGTGAGGAGTTCAACAGAGCCGAGGGGATGAAGGGACGAGGCGTAGCCAGAGGAGAGGATTCCAGAGGTGAGGGAAGGCCGACGAGGGACAAAAGTGAATCCAGGGGGGACGAGGGAGCCTGGCGGAACTGGGGGACTGAGAGGCCACGGTGGAGTTGAGGGAGGTAAGAGCTAAGGTGGAACAGATGAAATGAAGGGCCGAGGTAGAGTCCTGGTTGAGGAGGTTGGAGGCGGAGACCGGGGATGCACTGATCCTGAAGGCGTTGGTGGCAGGCATGATCCTCGGCGCCTCCACCTCCTCAAGGGTGGATACAGGAGCAGAGAGGCTGCCAGGCAGTGGTGGAGGAATGGTAGAGAGGCAGATGGAAGGAGGTGGGAGAGATCAGAGGGACCAGCAGTGAAGGCTCTGTGCTGGTCGGGACCAGCAGTGAAGGCTCAGTGCTGGAAGGACCAGCTGTGAAAGCTCTGCCATCTTGGCTGGAGACAAGGGTTCAGGCGGGATGTGGAGAATGGGCTGGTCCAGAATGTGAAGATCCCCTAAAGGAATGGTCTTGGCAGGACTGGCAGGTTGTGTTCCAGATCGGGGATCGACGCTCTCCAGACACCGGATAACGGTCTCCCTCCAGCTGAGTCCGGTGGTGTCTGGAAGGTCGATCCGGTGGTGAAAGGTGGCCCCGAGCTGGAACAAGGTACACAACCTCTTGTCGTCAAGGGTGCTGTGGATGGCAATGCGGACAAACTTCTTGACGAATGAGAGGGAGTGTTGGCTTTTCTCAGCCAGGACGATAATTTTTACCCCATCGTCCATCTTAGGGCGGTCTGTAGTTCTGTCACAAAGGACTGATTGAACTGAAGGAACTAAATACAAACACTGATGAACTGAAACAGGTGACACAGATGATGATCTTTAACAAACACAGATGACAACGATGATGACAGGCAGGTGCGAAAACATGAGGGATGCTGGGAGGTGTGGTGTAGATGCACAGACAAGACAGACTGTAACAATAATATGGCCATTTTGAGATTGTCAGATTCGTCAAGATATTTATTAGATATTTAAAACTTAACAGTGACTATGTTTCATCAACGTATTCTTATGTGCATTTTGGTTTATCGCATAAAAAAATTATGTAAATGCCAACATGCTCATAAATTCTAAAAATGTACATAAAGCATTTTGTCAGATAAATTACGCGCATAAACTACGCTGGAAACACATTTCCCGAATAAATTCCTTGATGCACATCAAAAAAGTCATGAGACTTTGCATGATGAGATGGCATAACTTGACTAATCAGAGGACCGATCTCATTGAACAGCTTCTGAAAAGCTGTTTTGGCCATTCTGAAATGCCTGAGTGAAGTCTGTCGTCAAAGTGGTTTAGTATAATTCCCTCCCAGAACTGTCTTACAAGACTGCATTCCCAAACAACAGGTATCCGCCTCAAAAAGCAAGATAACATGACTGTTTATTGCGTTTCATCTGCATGCTCTTAGGCGCAAGTAATATATTATTTACTAAAATAATAGGAATATATTATGTGGCTTCTTCTACTTTTCTTAGTGATGTTTAGTGCTAGTTTATCAGGAAGCTACATTTTGTTCTCTTCCACACATAGGATGGAAAGGGTGCTTCATTCACAAATGTTTTATACGATATTACAAATGGATGGGAACATAGCTATTGATGCACACTTCAATATGGATTGTTTTGTGATCAGTTGTACATTATACTGTATCTTATGTAGTCTAAACATTATATTGGCCAAAATATGCCAACCTGCTCTTCAGTAATTAGCATCAGTATCATTCCTTTAAAAAAATAAAAAAGTTGATGTTGCCAAGATCTGTATATCTGAATAGCATGAGACCACTTTTAAAACACTTTAAGGTGGATTGATATTCAAGGACCAGTAACCTCTAAACCCAATATTCCCACCAAGCTTCCGATACCTCATTCTTAAAAGCCAAATTAAACATCTCCACACTGGCTTGACAAAGACCTTTAGATTGACTCTCTTAGACTGTGGTCGAGTCGAAGTCTAGTCTTTGTGGAAGCCGCTATATCAAAGGGAAAGTGTCCGAATGTTTACACATTTCTGGTCATGAAGTGCATCTCTGAAACTTTTTTTCACAGCTTGTAAGAATTTCTCAACATGTTCTTTTGTGCTGTGAATTCAGCAGTAAGATAACTGCATCCTATAACCTGCACAGCTGCCTGCATTGTCATCTGAATTCCTGAGAATTCAGAGCTTGTTAGCCAGGCACAACCACCAGGAGACTGAGAATGTGAAGGAAGACAAAAGTATTTCCTGCTGAGCCACACTGTAGCTAAAGGTGCAGCACTGTGGGGCCTTGCTCATTATTGAGGCATCCATACACAGGGAACAGTGAGAAAAAACACCAAGGATTTTCAGAGACTTTTCAAGGTGCCAAATTCCCAAATGGTAAACCAAGCCGTTTTCTGATCTCTGAAACTGAAAGAACAGCACCTTCCCTGTCTCGTGTGTTTCGTGTCAGGCCAAAAAAAAAATAACAATAGTAATGCTGTTTCAAAGTGCTCTGCATGCAAGACACCCTTTTCCCAGTTCCTCGACCTTCACAGCTTCATCCTCTCTGAGGGAAAAAAACACAAGTCGATATATAACAAACATCTTTAAGCCTAGACTCTTTCATTTGCTTTTTCGAAATGTAAATCATTAGGTTGCTGGTTAAAAAGATAATTTTTACACACTCAAATTTGCCTGGTTTTATCCATTTTAAGTTTTAAAAAGAATCTTCATGCAACTCTATCAGTAGTTCATAGTTATAACAGCTATTTAACATATTTACAAATATTCTGAGCAAACTTTCCTACGTTTAGATGTAATTTTATATATAGTTATGTTTATTTAATATAATTTTTAAAAGAAGCATAAACACAACGAGGGGTGTCTGTTTAGTCTGTTTTTGTGACTAACATTTCTTTATTATTGCCATAGAGTATAAAATTCAATATAAATTCTCGGTATTGTATTGGACTCTACGATCGGCGGAAGTAATCGAGCATCCTTATATCTTCACCGGAAATACCGCCGTGCATAGAGCCCATTACACACTTGACAAATAATCTTCATTGGTAATTAATTTTGGCTTTTAACATTTACATCAGCAATGCACTTGGAATGCACTTGGCATATATGGAGGAAAAAAAATGCATCCCGGTGAAGCACACTGGAGCTCATTGACAATTGCTGCAGGGGATCCCAAAGGATAACTGGAGCTTTTAGAGCTGTTCTTCATCCTATTTATGTGCCATCGATTGAAATCTGCCCCAACGGCATGCAGACGCAAGCTGTTCACACATGCTAATTGCCCTTTCGCTAGTGATTCGAGTCCAATATGCTTTTCGAAACCTGTAGTAACTTTTCAAAGTGACCAAGTGAGGTGCTTTGAGGCACTCTAAGACTTTTGTAATTTACATCCTGTACTAGAACTTTAATTGATATGCTAATTTTGCTCATCTGGCGAGACCTGCTCAATGAGCATATACTAATTACAGTATGTGCTGTTTTCTGAATAAGTGCCATTGCTGTAGTATAGCTCCATATTATTACAACACCATTCAAATGAGTCACGCTATTGATTAAAGGGGTCATAATGCCATTTTCATACAATTTGATTTTTTAGGGTCTTAATGAAAAGTTTGTAATATACTTTAATTAAAATTGTCATTAGTATTGCAAAAAAAAAAAAAAAAAAACACACAAATTTTACCTGGTCAAAAACAGCTCTGTTTTCAGCACGCAGTTTCAGTGCATATGCCTTTAAATGATAATGAGCTTCGCTCACTTAGCCTCTCTGTTCTGCGGGCGTTTTGACAACACACATGGAGTGTTGCCTTGACAACAGTAGAGGGTATATTTGGAGTAAGAATGGCGGGAAAATCTGAGGACACATCTGTACAACCTTATCAGTAGGATAATTTTATGATCTTATTTAGATCATAAAACCATATAGCAAAATATATGTGACCTCTGAAACATGGCCTTCAGGATATGGACCTAATTAAATATTAAGGTCATCCATTTTTTACTTTATTTTCCCCCTGAGCCCCACTTATAATGTTAGTCAAGGTTGTTTTCCACTTACTGTAGATAGATTGGGTGATTCCCAGCGTGATTTTTAGTCAAAAATGCTCAGAAAGCGAGTTGCCCTAGATGATATCTTTAAGTGGGCTGGAACAAAGTATTACTGTAAAGCATCTGCCATTTTCTTATTGAAATTGTTCTATTAAGCAGTAACATCATCACTTTAACTGAAAATGATTCATTTCTATTACATGTATTTATGTATTTATACAAGATATCAAAAATAAATGTTTTTGAAATTCAAGTTAACTTCACAAATCCAAACTTTCTAAATGACATTATAATGCACTACAGACCTGCTTTATACTCACTGATCTCTGTATTATAGATAGACTGTCTATATTATAAACCAGTATTTCCCAATGTTTCAAATTGACACGCCCCTTCCAATTCCGAGTTCGGAGAATTCCGAGCTTCTCAATTTTAAATACGACTTTTTCGGCCATCCATGTGCTCAGAACATTGAATATTGTAATTACGATATTTACAACTAGGGATGTCCCAATCAGATTTTTTTGCCCTCGATTTTGAGTATCTACCGATACAGAGTCCCGATCCGATACTTCAATAATACATAAAAAAAAAATATCAAAGAAGAGCGAAAAAACAGATCCAGGATGTTCCTTATATATTTTTTATTTAATTCACCTTATTTTAACATTCAACAACTCTGTTAACAAACAGAGCACTTCTGTGAGGTAGCTTGAACAATCAAGTAATAAATAACATAAATTTGTCACTTTTGGACTTTAGTGCAACAGTAAATATAAAAAAAAGTCTAATATAAAAAACAAATAGCACCTAAAGTTTAAATACCCACCAGGCATGTAAACACATAAAAAATAAAAGTGCCACAGTGTTTGCAAAGCCAGTAATGTGCTTTTAGGAACTGCACTCCTAAATCTTGCGCTATCTTGGCTGTGATACCTCCTGATCGGGATTCGGGAGGCAACGTTCGATCACATGGTCGGATCTGGACATCCCTTTTTACACCCCCACTTGAAGGGTACATTATTCTTAGTTACATACCTGGAATATAACTGGAATTAAAGCGTCTTTTCCTTGCATTATGAATAGTATCTGTCCTACTTCCTCCTTATTAATAAACCCTGACTTGGTGGCATTCTTAATGAGTAAATGTTCATCAATGGTCTTTTTGAACAAGGGAGGAACTTTTCATTTCTTCAACTGTCAGTTTCATAGTAAATCAAAGTCTTTCATTTGAATCATGTAAAAGTAAAGTAAAATTTTATTTATCATAATATGACCCCTTTAAAATGCATTAATTAGTGTGTCTCTGTAGACGTTTTAAAATGTCAGATATTGAAATGCAAAGAACGCCCTCAATAACCAAGTCTTCTGTTTTTACTCAGATTTGCATAATTAATCGACTATTTCTCTGAACGCAAGCCTAATTGGGATCAAAAAAACAATTACAACAATACCCACAAGAGCAGCCTATTGAGCTATTCAAAATAGGTATCGCAGGGTACTGCTCAGCATCCTTTGTAGAATCCAAGCGTGCTTTGTGTTTTCTGTCTCACTTGCCATTCATCGCTCGGCTCTTTGTGTAGTGTAACTGTGCACAAGTCTGCTGGTCTGTGTATTCATGCAGAGAGAGATGGTGGGCTGAACTCTCTGGACGGCAGCGTGGCCTTTAACTGGCAGGGCTCTAGTATTTGGCCGATTGGTGTATATCCCTGTCTGCGAAGCAGAGATGTGCTTAAGTATATATTTTCATAATCATCCAGTTGGTTAGTTGCCTGAATGACTAGTTGACTATTCAGTTTCTAGTCGACTATTCAGCACTCCGCAGTGACTGAAAGATAGGGAAAAATGTAACACTGCTTAAATGGGGATTGTGACCCATCCCTAAAGAAACCCAGTATTGTGATGTGGCTGAAATTCTCCCACTAAAGATTCAGCAAGGCACTTCTGATCATCCAGTACTCAGCAATTTCAGCAAATCTACACCCTCCCACCCCCCCTCTTTTTTATGTTTCCTCTCTTTTTCACAAGATAGCACTCTTTACGCAGTATGAATTTGAATGAATGCTATTTCAGTGACAGTGTCTGAAGAGCAACTAGCAAGTGTTTGCATGCAGGCCTGGATAATTGTCTGGCTGATTGTTTATCAAATCAAGATTTGAAAATATTCTTACTTAATGGATTTCTTCTGGATGTCAGAAAAGGGATGTTTAGCAGATGTAATTATGCCGTATGCGTAATACTGAAACACAGGGTAGGTGATGTGTAAATAAATAAACTCAGACGTACCTTAGCTGTGGCACGTGCTTGATACTCCGGACATCCATTCACTGTTATCGTTTCATGCATATACTGATAGACCTATTAAAATAAACAGAGACAAAGAGACTGTTTAGTTTCAGTTCCTCTACAGTTATCAAAATGACATAAAATGTGGTTAAATAGCAATAAGGCATTCTGCAACGATGCTTCTTATCATATTACTTCTTTGGATGCAGCCTGTACTTTCATGGCAAAGAAACAGTTTGAAAAGAATCTTGCTTAGCGAGTTAAAGTAAGTTAAACTGTTGATCTGTTTATAGATATCTACCTGAATGATAACATTGGGTTTGTGGTCACATTAGCAATCTTTTGCTAAATTTTGTGCGCAAAGTAGGTCCAATGTCAATAGTATAGTGAAGCACCACTATTTTAGAGGTAACTTCCAAACCAAGCAGCTTTAATTGGAAAATTTGCATGTTAACAAACTTGAATCCAATGTGAAATTAGCATGGGTAAATTCTTAAAGTGCACCGCAAGAGTGTATACATGTATGTTTGAAAGGACTGCATTCTTGCTAATGCAATGCACTGGCTAAGCATTTTATCGTGTTTATGTACTTGCGCTAATTTGTTTCTGAAATGTGAATAAGAAATTCAAGAAGGAGCACCTGTGGTTGCACTCTGGTGTTCAAATTCTACGGCAGCAATGAGAACTCAGTCTACATCACCAAAAATAGTTAGTTTGACATTTTGTCATGAATAATTTGTTCTTCTTTTAGTTTCTGCAAACCTTTGTCATGCTTTTATAGTTTGGTTTACAGAGCAAAGAGAGCTTAATCCAGTTCTATAGACTCTAATGTCTCATTTGCGCAGACGCAACGGGTTCCACCACCGATTCTATATTTTCACAAACAGGTGCATGTACAGAGCCCTTATCTGCTTTCACACCACTCAGGGATGAGACTATTAGCTTGAGGTCCTTTGAGGATTTGGAGAACCTATGTTTATCTCATTAACCAGCGCTTCTGAAACGCAGCTGGTGCTACAGGAAGCTCTGTCTCCCTCTCTCCGTCTCTCCTAAATAACAAGTTTCTCTTTAATCTGTCCTCCAGCACACTGGGCAGACTCTTTAGCTGTTTTACTAACCTCCTACTGAGAGATTAGTCTGATAAAATACATTTACAGTAAAACGTCTCTTTCCTGTTACTCTGCGACTTTAAACCACTCACTCTAAACCTTCTCAACAGGCAGGAACTATTGGATGACCTTTAGAAACTGCTTGAAAATACATGCAAGTGGTTGCTAAGTCTCTACAATTACAAACTAGAGTATGTTACTAAGGAGAGGTGACATCCTACATGTGAAATATGCTCAACTCTGAAAGCTGTGCTGTTATATATTTCAGCACAGCCTATTGCACACCTTATATATTTGTCGCAGTTGTTATTTTATGTGTCTCACTTGCCGTCTTTTTCAAAAATACAGCATGTTTGGGAAGCCTCTTGAGGTTTTGCTCCAAGTGCAATAAAGTCTTGCCCTGTTTAAATAAAATTCAGACAACATTGACTCACCCTCGTGTCATTCTGAACCTGAGTGACTTTCTTCATCATGGAACAACCAACTGTGGCATATTATATGATAATCTAATAACATTTTTTTTTATCTTAATCATCTATAGTTTGGCTACTTAATTTCTAGCTGCTTATGTTTAGTTCAATGACAATTTAGTGAAACTTTAATCAATTTACCTTTATTGACTGAACTTCAATAGATCTGTGAGGGATCAATGCAACCAGATGGAACAAATCAATAGATTAAAGACCTAAGTAAATCTTTCAGGGGCTAAACATGCGTGCATGTTTCTTCCCACTGTTGGAGGATTGTGTGTTTTTTAATTGCATCTTGAAAATGCATGAATATTAAAGGTCAAGCTATTTCGGTGTGCAATTCATATGCTGTATTGGGAACGTTTTTATCATAATTTTATTGGAAGACAATTTATTTGTGTTTGGTAATGGGATGTATAAGGCAGTCTGCAAGGGTAATAGGGCTCTATTTAACCACTGTTCTCAAATTCCGCTTTGGTGATAATTCCCTGTTTTCAGTAAAATCAATAGAATAATATAATACAATGTTGATGAATTTCATTACCACATTATGGTAATGAGGATTTGTGGGAAAATGGACTTAATTGTCAATAAAATAATGTTACAATGAAAAAACAGGTGTACATTTCTTTACACAAAATAGAATTTCCAAATTTATTTTGTTTTTGAGGTGAAATGTGAGCTGCATTCTTGTAAGATTTAGTGCCATTCCTCCAGTTTTCTTATACAATCATGTCCTTGCTTCTCTGTCTTCCTATCTCCCATGTCTCGAGGGATCACTCCGTTTCCTCTCAGCTCACTGTGTTCGGTTTGCTTTTATCTGTTTTACCTCCAGTGAGATTGACACTCACAGATGTGTATCACTATGCTTTTTCACTACTCTGCCCATTGAAAAACCCACCCACAGGCCGCAGTGAGGTACTTTGTGTAACCATGGTGCTCTGACTATAAAGAGAAATATGATTTCAGTTGTTCTCATTTGAAACCTTGTTCTCCCTCCTCTTTCTTAAATCTTCTTACACTGCTCAGAGTCAGTCAGGCAATTCAGTGAAGCCCGATTCACAGCAATGCTTCTCATTTGCAAACCATTCCACCAAGCACATAGACGATATTCCACATAGACGCACACAATTAATAAAGAGAGAGACTGATCTCTGACCCTGTAGCAGCGGCACGTAGGCATTGATGGACTAAGCTCTCAGTTGATAATGGCCCTGTTGTCATATTCCTCTGAGAGTTGTATTTGAAATCATACACGTTTGCTGTGGTGATGCTCTGACAGACTGGACTGTGGGAAATGATTTTCACAACATAAAAGCGTTCCATCATTTCTGAAAGAAATCATTGTAGGCCAGTCCATTTGTTTTTCTGACATTCAAAAAGTATGCAGGAGATCATATAATACTAGAAATCAGGACAAAATGAAAAATTCAACTTGTTTTGTAAATGCTTTACTGTAAACAACATTTTTGAGTGTAAAATATTTTACTGACAATTAGTAGCACACTGTAGATCCTGTCTGTGTAAAGCTACATTTATTTTTTACATTTTTTTTAGAGATGAAGAATACGGGATTTTGAGTGGGTATGTTCTGGCCACCGTTGTCCTCGTTTTGGCAATCATTTCATATGGCTAAGTGAGGTTGATGACTCATCTGAATAGGCCAGAGGTAGACATAGTACCTGATAGTCTTGATCTTGGAGTTTGTGGCATTTTTCCTTTTTTATATGTTATTGGTTGAGACATTTTCACGGCACATTTTGTCATATTGACATTGTCCCTGCAATGCAGAGCTTTGCTGTCGGCACTGTAAATTAAGTCAACACCGTGTCCTTTCACACTCTCATTATGGGAATGTAAGAGACAGATTGCACCATATGATACCTTGCACAATTGCCAGGCCATGAAATTAGCTCATAGGGCATCCATGCACAGCTCAGTGAAACTTCGCCTGATGGATCCTGGGAGTGTGAATTGATGTCCTACCAAAAGTTTTATTACATTAATGGCCCATTCTTTTTGATTGATGAGAAACTTTGCTATAAAATTATACTGTACTTAACGAATCATCTGTTGTGTCATCTGATGTGTAGCAACCTATAAACTGAATCTCATAACTAATCTGAAGTATGTCTCTATAGATGTTTCAAGGTTTTGACACATTTCCTCATGCATAGTTATAGCCACATTAATCTTAGCCACCTGTTTATGGATCATCTGATCCATATTACCCACAAAAATGGCAAGAGCTTTCTCAAAATCACAAGTTCCAATCTGGTTTCACACCGTTTTTTCTTCTTCACAGTCCAGTGTTTTTCACAAAGTATCAGACTTTGCACTTCTGAGGCAGAAAAGGGAACATCAACATGGAGACAGTAGTGGGTAGAGCCAGACCGGAGACAGGAATAGCCAGATGCTGACCCCGAGTTAAGCCAGGATGAAGGCTCACAGTGGAACCGATGAAGGAGCCAAGATGAAATCAGGAGCTCAACTGAGTGAGGTGGAGACGTGCAAAATGGACGTGCCGAGGAGTTGGAGACCCAGGGTGACTGTGAAGGCCTGGAGGACCAAGGTTGAGACATGGGCTTGGCAAACCGGGACAGAGTCAGTCGAGGCACAGCTGGAAACTCTGAAGTCAGAGGCACAGCCAGAGTGACGATTGACGAAGGTGGAGCCAGAGGGATGAGGGAGCCCAAGAGGTGGTGCCGGAGGGATGGCAGTCCAAGATGGAGCCAAGGGCTCGGAGGCTTGAGGTGGAGCTGAGGGATCCACAGACCAAGGCAGAGCTGACGACTGGGAAGCTTAATGTGGATTCGAAGAGCAGGGCAAACTACCGGAGGAGCCAAGGGGGTGAAGGAAGACAGTAGAGGCAAGGCTGAGGAAATAAAAGGTTTATGTAGAGGAGGAGGGAGAGAGAGGCTGGGACCATCTTCGACAATAGAGACTTGAAGCTGAGCAGAGTCAATGGCAACGAAGAAGACATGGAGCTGGGCAGAGCCAATGATGATGAAAGCAACTTGGAGCTGTTACGTTTTCAATAGCAACAAAGATGACTTGGGACTGGGCAGAACCAGCAGAGATGAACAGCGAAGACTGTAGAAGTTGAAACATTATATCATCCAGCTCATCCAATGTTAATTCAGTGGGAACCCAGCTAATTTCATGCACTTCAGTGATGAGTGCAATTTATGCCGACGAACTCCACTAATATGGCCTCCGTGGTGGGCGCTCACACACCTGTTCAAACTTCTTAGTGGGCTCTGGCTCTAGGACAAAGTCATTCGGGCTGGATCTTCATGGTGGGCCTCTGAGTCTATGGTGGCCTCTGGCTTAAAGTCTGTGTGGGGATTGGCTGAAGGCTGGCTGGGTTCTGGGTCGAGAGCTGGCGATGTGGGGCTGGCATGAGGCATACATTGAATGGGAACTTACACCTAACCAGTACCCACTCCACATATTCTCACTGGGATTGTGGGTAACCTCACGGGGACCATAGGTAAGTACATAATTTATCTTTTTTTCTGGGGTCTAAATCCTTTCTTGGGTCCAGTGTTCTGTCGAGGGGCAGTGTAGTTTATAATCCAAAACAGAGATGCGTGACAAGTATTGACATATTTTCTCAATTCACTTGACATTGACATTAGTGGTAAAAAGTTAATAATTGATGTCTAAATATTTGTTTTATGAGTATTTTGCCCCACTGTTTTTTGTTTTTCCATATAGCTAGCTAGTCACGATCCTCCCATACTGTTTCAAAATAAACAAGCACAAGATTATACATACTCTGCCCACTACAAAATCTGTTACAAGTCCCTCACTGTAGACTAAAACGCAGAGGGGATCGAGCTTTTTCTGTGGTCGGGCCTCGCCTGTGGAACAATTTGCCCATAGACGTTAGGATAGCCCCTTCTGTGATCTCTTTTAAGTCACTTTTAAAAACGCACTTGTTTTCTTTGGCCTATAAATAGGTTGTTTGTGTATGTGTATGTATATGTATGTACATATATATGTATGTGTGTGCGTGCGTGTACATGTATATGTATGTATATATATATAGATTTTATTGTTGATAACTCTGAGATTGCTTGGGCCTCTCCTGTTTCTAAGCTGTTCCTATCTTTGCTGTACTGTTCTATGATGTGCTGCTGCATGGTGTTAATGTCTTTTAATCTTTTTTGGTTCTGTAAAGCACTTTGGTCAGTCATTGGCTGCTATAAAATGTGCTATACAAATAAAATGAACTTGAACTTGAACTTGAACTACTGACAGAAAGCGCAGCAGTGGTGTCGTACTAAAAGGCAGCATATAATCAACCTTGTAAAATTAATTAAATAAACAATCGAATTAGCATAATAGGATTCTTTTCTCGCTCATGTGTTGTGCAGCACACACACACACACCCCTAAATGGGAAAAGGCAATTCCACCGGAGTAACACTGTTCATATGCTCAGGCAAAAGTACAAAAATGTGTCTTTGAGATTGGTTTTTAGTTGTTTGCTAGTGCGGTTCTGGTGTTTGAGCATAAATGGACAGCCGAGATCTTAAAGTGGTTTGGATGTTGGCCTGGCGTTGCACTGAAAACCGCAGTGGCCCAGGTCAACCTCATTCTCTGAATAATTGCATTTCTGCAAGTTCACGGGAGAAGCAAAGTAAAACAGGCTCCAGTTGCCACTATCTCTGCCTGACAGACACACTCCTGTCATCGCACCCTCAACGCACATCTGTCACAACCTCGGATGATGCTGAGATTCCATCCCATAATTGATGATCCTCGGTGTCATATCATCCATCTACCACAGCCTCTATCCATTTTCAATTAATATTAGTTTATTAGTTTTAAATACGTCTAATTAGCTTTAACAATATAACTTTTTTCAGTTTTTACAGTTTTTATTTTAATTCAGCTTTATTTGAATTAGTTAAATACATTTCTAATAGTTTTAGTGGTAATATTTTAGAATAAGTTCTCTTTTGTTAACATTCGTTAATGTATTAACATTAACAATGAGCAATATATTTGTTACAGGATTTATTAATCTTTCTTTATGTTAGTCTGTTACCCTCAAATTTACCAAAACATGTATCCAATTTAAACCCCCAGAGTATGATTTTTTTTCTCAAAGGTTTGAGTCAGGAACTTTATGTTTCGTTGTTGACTACTTAAATAGCCCTTTAAATAAAACACCACCAACCCCCACCCCATAAACTGTACATCTAGAATACCAATTGCATGACTATGGACAAATTAGCAAATCCCCATAAAATCCAAAAAAACAAAAAATTCATGGTAGCGTTCAACTTCTCTGTACCTTCTCAATCGATTTTCCAGATGTCGCATACAGGGACAGTCAGAAGGGTGCTTCATTCGAGAGAATAACTTTGCACCTGTCTTCTGGTGTCTAATTCTTGTACAGTACTTCCTGTAGAATTTCAGTCCATCTTTGAGGTTTTTCTTGGAGAGAAGTGGCTTCTTTGCTGCCCTTCTTGATACCAGTTTGTTTTACAAAACTCTTGGCCTTGCTTTGTGTGCAGATGCACTCAAAATCATCTTCTGCCAATATTGAGCAGCTCTTCACTGGTGGTGACACGACTCTGTAGCTGATCCCTCAGGAGGAGAAGGTCCTGGCACTTACTGGGCACTCTGGGATGTCCTAAAGCCTTCTTCACTGCAGTTAAACCTTGAAGTTCTTGATGATCTAGTAAATGGTTCTTTCAGGTGCAGAATTCTTTGAAGCATTTCCTTAAATGTGAGGCCATTTGGATGCAAAGATGATGGCTACACATCTCTCTTTAGAGGTAACTATTGCTAACATTAGAACACAAAGATTGGAAGCACTTCTTCCCTGATTTGATTAGTAAAAGGGACAAAAATAGTAAACTTTGGGGTTTTGTGATAGTTTATTGGACAGTAAAGCTTTTTGCAAATATCTGATCACTTTGCACAATAATCTAGAAAAATGTGGATCAACATAAAAACTGAAGCAGCAAATTTAGCAAAACATAACATTAATGTCACTTCCAAAAACTTTTGGCCACAGCTGTACCCTGTTGTTCAAGTGGGAAGCAGGTCAACACTAGGAGTCTGAGGAGGATGCCTCATAATCAGGACAGATTATTCTCCTCAACTTTATAATCTGTCTCAGACACATTCTCCTCTGTTACTGTCAAAGGACTGTGAAATATACACTGGAATATATCATTTTCATTTTTGGATGAACTGGCACTGGAATATAATTTTGAAAATACTGTATCTTAACTGTGTCAACTGTAGAATATGGTGCTAAACTGGTGATGACAGCAATGCTTAATAGAACTCACCTCTCTAATGGCCGTGCAGAACTCGCTCTGTAGAACCTTCTTCAGGGACTGCAGCTTGTGACCTGGGACGTCACCTGACTCCTGTAATTTTTCCAGCAGCTCAATTGCCCTGGTGACATCTGAGATGGAAAGAGAGAAAGAAAACACAGATGCGTTTGAGTAACAGAGGGTCTTTGATTCCGAGAAAGAGAGAGAGAGAATGGGTAAAGTTTGCAGTAAAGGGCAGAGAGATGGTGGAGCTGCAGCGAATCGATTGTTGGGATAATGGAAATAGACTCGCTGACGGCCAGAAGGGCCACAGAAAGCAATCAGTGCTCTCTTTACATGAAGCAAAAAACGCATCACTCTGCTGTGCCCCTGCTATTCAGCAGACCTACAGGGGACACATTCGCTGTGGTCAGTCATGGCTTGTTTCAACAAATACTTATGAGTCTTTGGCACAGCATTTCACTGTCTGGGTAATCAAGCTACATCAATACGTCATCGTCTATTATTCTCAATCATCTCAATGGCAGTTGCTCGATTGGCTAACCCGATCTCAACACATAAACATAATTATTTTACGAATCTCCCTAAACCCACCCCTAATCCTACCCATCTCCGCCCCCTGATCCCTAACCCCACCCCTAATCCTACCCATCTCCGCCCCCTGATCCCTAACCCCACCCCTAATCCTACCCATCTCCGCTCCCTGATCCCAAACCCCGTCCCTAATCCTACCCATGATCCCTAACCCCACCCCCAATCCTACCCATCTCCGGGCCCCCCTGATCCTAACCCCACCCCTAATCATACCCATCTCCGCCCCCTGATCCCTAACCCCACCCCCAATCCTACCCATCTCCGCCCCCTGATCCTAACCCCACCCTAATCATACCCATCTCCGCCCTGATCCCTAACCCCACCCCTAATCCTCCCATCTCTGCCTCTTGATCCCTAATCCTACCCATCTCTGCCCCCTGATCCCTAATCCCACCCCTAATCCTACCCATCTCTTCCCCTTAGATCTGTATCCAACTCCACCCCTGGATTTCGGGTACTGCAATGAGGTGCTACTGGAAGGGTTGGATTGCTTTACACTGCACAATACGTCACACCAACATAGCTTTAGTGAAGGAGTATTATACTGTAAGAAAGGACATCATGGCAGAATCTAAGAGAACAAAGAGAATGTTGACATAATTATGTTTTGCAATTGAACAAACTAATGCAGGACTACAAATTGTTTACACTGTCTTGAAGTTTTTTTAAAGTTGTTTCAATCCTGTGATGGTTTTTGTAATGGTTGGAACATGGCTCACAAGATTGACATGGTTCTTCTTGGCTTTTGAAATCATTTATCTTTCGAACAACAAATGTACCAGCTATCTACTAATTACTTCAGCGGTTTATTTATGATTTTTTGTCACTCCAAAGTGACAAAAAAGTTGCTTTAAGCCAAGCTAACCCTCTTTTAATGGGCTTGCATAAAACAGTGGCAACATAGGCTTGCATAAAACAGTGGCAACAGCAATATTTTAAAAGACATTCAGTATACTGTTTAACTATTTAAACTTAAACTATTTAACTATTAGGCAACCTACATTTATTAGCAGTTAGTAAAGGAACTTGGGTCAGTGGAGTAAGAAGCTGTTTATAAAACTTGCCTTTGTATTTCAAAATGCAAAACGCAGGGCATTGGAATGAAAAAAAAAACACAAGGTCATGAGACACAATTTTTAAAAGTTGAACTTATCTTACCTTGAGCGCCAAATTTTTAGAACTTGATGCATGAGGCACTGCAAAAATGGAAGACGTGAACGCAACGGCCAAACAAGTATTTCTAGCGCATGCTTACATAGAAATACAATGGAAAAGCAGTGCAATGCAAAAACGTGTTTTTTAAAAACAACCCAACAACCACCAATATGGTGTACTTACAGCTCTACACACTCCAGACCAGCCTAACTGCTGAAGCTCAACGCCTTTCCACTGCACACGACATTTTGACACGACTGTCAAAATTTGCCCCCTAGTGGCAGTCACAATGAACTTAATATCTTGCACGCCAACATGAGTAGACCTAAACTGTCTCATTTGACGGAAATCTTCCCCGTTAAGGTGCATCTCTTGCACTAAACGGTAATACTACAGCTAGGTAATGTTTTTCCCACACTGACTTGCAATACTTCTTTTTGCTTCTCGAGTAAAAGGAATGTAAAAGCATGAGCCTATATCCTCCAAACTTTCACCCCGGTGGATTGAATAAATAAATGCAAACAAACAGCTTTGCATAATAGGACAAATAACCGCCAATAATTTGACTGAAAATACGGTGCCAGATAACATTGACTAGCTAGTCTGACAGTAGCTTTTAGACTACCCTACCTAGAAAAGCTTTCTTTTGTATCTCTAAATCTCTCATCCCCCTTTAAAACAGCATTACTACAGGCATCAAAGCATCACCTTAGTAAATAATCTACAGCCTTTGAATATAAATTAGATATAATTACTGGTAAATCGATTGACTTTGAATGCTCCTGCTAAGTATAATCCATTTTTAGGAGGACTATGATAAAATCGTATTTATGTGATGAATATCTGTCACTTACCCTAAAGGTCCTTGGTGTAGTTTTACAAATCGCTGAAGATCACGTTATGGGTGGTTGAGCCTCTGGTCACATTTAGTGCTCAGTACGACTCGCGGTGATTTGTTTTTGTGTCAAGGGAAGCATGTGGCTAATTGTGCTCGTTCATCTTTGGACCGTGAAAAATTACACCCATTTTATGTAATGTGCAACTGTTTTGGGTAAAAATTGAGAAATAACCTCCAAAACTTTGTGTCACAAATTCGTAAAAACTCATATTAGCCTACATTAGATAACAACTTTGTCGGGACACAGACAGCAAAGCAAAGTAGGCCAAAACCCCGACAGGAACTAATAAAACTGAACCCAGTGAGACTAGTAGAGCAGACACAAAAGCTGTAATGGCCTGTGGGCTCATGGGACCACAACAGATGCAACAATCTGAGCACAATCTCTTGCAGTCTGTTCTGTCAGTCACATTGAGAGGAGACTTATGACCTTTTGCTCTAATCTTCAAACCCCAAATGGGCTGTACATTTTTCATGAATATGTCACATTGTACTGAATTTGAAAGCCTTTTTTGATAAAACGATAGATTCAAATTAAAGCTCTTTTGTTATTAAAGCAGCTATTCTATCAAAAACTGACAGCTCCATAACTGAGTAGTGCCCTGGCATGTCCCACTTGGCTCTGCCTCTGAAGAATGTCAGCATGACATTAATCTCTCTGTTGCTACAACACGTCAGTAAAAATTGATGACTGATGTGTTTTGGTGTAAAATTGACATGAGGGCATAAACTGTGGCTTAGAGTGTAATTATTGTTAACTAAAACCAAAATGATTAAAATTGTTTTTGTTTTTGAAATTAAGCTTAAATAAAATGAAATATTAATATATGAAAATTTAAATAAACTTAAATAAAGATTAGAAATGTTGTCATGGCAACTAAATTAAATTAAATGAGTTGAAGTTGACATACTAAAATAGGTAACACTTAAAGGAG